CATTCGTCTGCAGAGAAGACCCCCTATTCCTAATGTGTTTGGCCTTCCTAACTTAGGTCCCCTCCGAAAGGGTTGGGGATTCCTTTTTTTGAATATCGTTTAACCGAGCCCCAACCCCAGCGGCGTGGCCTGGGCCCCGCTGGCCGAGTTGCTCCCCTAGATGGGGATATAGGCCGTTCCCTTCGGGTTTCGAGGGGTGTATCCCCAACGGGGGGTAAATTGGTGGGGGTCTCGGAGGGGATGGGGATGGGGATGGGGGTCGGTTACACGATACTGATTCATCTTTTATCAAGACAGACCGCAGAACCTCGAAGGCTCCTGCAGACGAAAGGGAAACCACGCCACAAACACACAAAACATATCCCAGTGCGACCCTACCTAGGAGTTGGAGCCCCTAGAAAAAACAGCATTAGTAGTAACAGTAAAGCTAAGCTAAAGCTAAGAAAAAGCTAAGCTAAAACTAAGCTAAAGCTAAGCTAAAGCTAAGCTAAAGCTAAGCTAAAGCTAAGCTAAAGCTAAGCTAACGCTAAGCAATGGCTAAGCTAAAGCTAAGCTAACGCTAAGCTAAAGCTAAGCTAAAGCTAAGCTAACACTAAGCTAACGCTAAGCTAGAGCTAAGCTAAAGCTAAGCTAGAGCTAAGTTGAAGCTAAGCTAAAGCTAAGCTGAAGCTAAGCTGAAACCAAGCTAAAGCTAAGCTGAAGCTAAGCTAGAGCTAAGCTGCAGCTAAGCTGAAGCTAAGCTGACGCTAAGCTAGAACTAAGCTGAAGCTAAGCTGAAGCTCAGCTAAAGCTAAGCTAAAGCTAAGCAAAAGCTCAGCTAAAGCTAAGCTAGAGCTAAGCTAAAGCTAAGCTAGAGCTAAGCTGAAGCTCAGCTAACGCTAAGCTAGAGCTAAGCTAAAGCTAAGCTAAAGCTAAAGCTAAGCTGAAGCTAAGCTAAGCTGGGTGAACCCAGGGGGCGCGACTGGGGGAACCGCGGGGCGGGGACTGGGGGAACCGCCCGGGGCGCTTTCCACTGCCCGGCCTCTTTAAGCTAGAGGGTAAGAACCCTTCTAGGCAGAGCCTAGGTAGGGAAAAATGGCGCCCCGCGCGGATCTCTTGGATCCGCGCCGGGCCCCTCTGGCGGCGCCTCCGGCGCCACCCTTGGCGCGCTCCGCGCGCCAGGTAGGGGGTCCAGCACAGATCCAAGAGATCTGCGCGGAGCGACACACAAGTTTATGTCTTTCTTTTTCTATGCAGGGGCCCGGGTGCACTGACCCGGGCTTGGGTGCAGGGTCCTGCAGGATCCTCCAGGGCCTGCCTGGGCCAGGCTTGCACCTGACTGGCCTGAGCCCCCGAGGCCGGCGGGCAGGTCCAGCGCTAGACCGGGCTTGCAAAACAAGACGCCCGATGCCAGGGGCCAGCCGTGCCCACGCCCTGGGAAGCGCAGCCTGCCCCAAGCGAGTGCATCGGCAGGGCGCTGGGATCTCTGACACGAATCCCTCCTCCTCCTCCTCCACCTCCTCCTCCTCCTCCACCTCCTCCTCCTCCTGGTCCATGCCTCTTCCTCCTAAATGACTTCTCCCTGTCGTCCCAGAGGCCAAATCTTGCAGCGGGCCGGGCGTTTCGCCTGAGACTTCCTCACCATTCATGCCCCTGAAGCTGAAAGAGTGACAACAGCTTCACAACTGGAGGGCGGGTGTCTTTCAACATGTGGCTCTCGCCTTAGCGCCGCGCACACTTGTTTTAAAACAGTCGCAAGAGTTTCACGGATTGAGGGCGGGTGGTTTTGAACATGTGGCTCTCGCCTTAGCGCCGCGCCGCGTACAACCGTTGTAAACAATTGCAAGAGTTTCACGTATTGAGGGCGGGTGGTTTCCAACATGTGGCTTTCGCCTTAGTGCCGCGCCCTGCGATTGTAAAAATTGCAAGAGTTTCACGGAATGAGGGCAGGTGGTTTTCAATATGTGGCTCTCGCCTTAGCGCCGCGTGCAATCGTTTAAAACACTTGCAAGAGCTTCACATATTGAGGGCGGGTGGTTTTCAACATGTGGCTCTCGCCTTAGCGCCGCACGCTGTTGCTGTAAAAAGTTACAAGAGCTTCACCAACAAGTATATTTCTGGAAAGGTTTGAGATTATGAAGGCGCAACAGTTGCGTTGATTCGCTGTGCTAAAGTATCAGGAATAGCGTTCGGGGACGATTCAAGATCGTCGAGACGCAACAGTCAGGTTGATCCTTGACGTTGGAATCTAGAGAACATTGTTTTGGCATGCTTCAGGGTCTTCAAACGGATGTCTTCCAACGAGGCAGTTCCCTCAGTGGAAATGAACCGTTCGTTGTAGGGGCCTAGGAGGCTTGGAGGGAGGGTTTATCCCAACATCGTTGATGACTCTTGGGCTTCCCCTGCTCCTCCTCCTCCGCCTCCTCCTCCTCCGCCTGCCCCGAAGACCCGGGATGTCTAGTTGTAGAGGGCAAGAACGAAAACACACACGCTCAGAATCAGCACAAGCGAACCGGCTTCGTAAAGCGCACCCGGGGCAAGAACCGAACAGGGCAGGGCTGTTTCGAAAACGGCCAGGGCTGTTTAGTGAACGCCGATTGTGGGGCTCGGCGTGGTTTTGTTAAAGGAGAAAAAACTGCATACACATAAACTGTGGGCGCTCTGCGCGGATTTCTTGGATCTGCGCTAGACCCCCTCCTTGGCGCGCGGAGCGCGCCAGGAGGCGCCGCCGAGGGTGCCACAACCAAGAAGTTCGCGCGGAGCGCCACAAGTTTTCGGTTATAGTGTTTGTTCTTCTTCGATGCTTCCTCCCTTTCACGATAGGCTGGCAGATCCCACGGATCGGATCTCTTGGCGGGGCTCGAGGAGGTCCACAGGTCTGCCGCAGCAGCGGCACATGGCAACCTCGTGCGGCGCCTGTGCATGCGGCGGTCTGTGGGCAGGGGCAGTGAGCCCTGGGCCGGGACAAGACAGCCTTGGCCAACGATTCGAGGCCCCCCCCAATCGTTAGGTGGCAACTCATGGGAGCCGCCCATACCATCTTGTCGGCTCTTGCGAATCGACTCTAATCTACGCTAGTCGACGCTCATAGTCGCTAAATCGACGCGAAATCGGCGCTCGCCGACGCTAAATCGGCGCTGTATCATCGACTCCCAGACGCATCGACGCTAATCGATGCTACAGGCGGAGTTGCGAGGGCATACAAGGATCCCATGACTTGCGACCGAAAGATGGAGTAGGGGCAGAGGTGGTCTTAGGACAAATATCGCCGTCAACGGCTCCCGGAAAAAGGGCATGTGAGCATCCAGCTGGGTCCGCTCCCCAACCACCTTGGGATGACCCCCCCGTCTACGAATCTCCGACCCACTTCTTTCCCACCCCCCGCCCTGGGTCAGGAGGGGGGGGACCCCCCACTGCCCCAACTTCCGCTGGGGGCCAGGGGGGGCGGTGGCCAGACCCCCCCTCCCCGCCGAAGGGCATGTGACAAGCGCTCTCCCTGTGCGGACAATATTCATGTCCATATCCAGTGCCTTTTGGACTTTTTGGGAAGCGGCGCCACAAGGCCGAGGCGAACTGGATATGGATAAAAATCGAGCCACTAGGGGGCGAATTTATCCATATCCAGTGCGCCTCGGGTTTCTTGGGAAGGGAGCCCGAAACTCCATACTCCAGTGAGTATAGACAGAAGTTTTGCCCGCACCCTGGACTTTGAAACCTCGTTTGGCCCCATCCCCCCCCCGCAGAACAAAAACGCTCCCACGGGACACCGTCGCCGTCTGCCCCCCGCCCGCGCGGCACCCTCCCGAGCGCGCGCCACGAGGGCGGCCCCAGACGGCCAGGGCGGGCCACCCTTGGAGCCCAAGACTAACCAGACTAACCAGCCTCGAACGTATCCCTACCCCTAAGATGGGCGAGCAAAACACAAGGACAATCTGAGGGATAGGCCCTCAGAAACTGAGGGAATCCTTAAGATCGGCATCGAGGTGAGGTGATGTCAAACATAAGGATGGGGATATGTTCCAGGCTGGTAAAAGACGGCCTGAGACCGTCCGAGGCGACCTCGGAGTCGCCCGGCCGACGGCCAGGGTGGCCCCCATCACGGCCCCAAGACAGTCCAGTCAACCCAAAGGGAGGGGGCGGAGGAGGAGGCAGAGGAGGAGCAGCAAAGTGGCATCGGGAGTGGGACGAGGGAGCGGCGGAGCACAGTGATGTTTACGGTCGGACTCGGTTGGACAGGACACGCGAGAGGACACAAGACCCTTCCGAGGGCAACATTGCCACAGGAATGTGGGAAGCATGGGTCTCGAGACACAGGACACAAGGGTACCCTTCCCTTTGGCAGGGTTGACCTACTAATCTGGGCCGCATGTGAGGACGGGCGACTGTGAAGAGTACAAGGCGGGGGGGAGGCATGGCAGGATGAAGCAGGAGGGAGGAGGGAGGAAGCGGAAGACGCAAGAGGAGGGAGGATGAGACCATGATGCGCAGTAGAACGAAAGAGCCATCCCGGGAAAGGCTAAAGAGGTGGAGGCTTGGGGGTTGAGCAGCATCGAGACGGGAAAGACCAAGATTAATAAGTGGACGAGGAAGATGAATCGGGATCAGAAGAAGATTGGGAGGAAGGCTGAGGGAGGGATGTGGTAACAAGGGAACAAGGCTGGTGGTTGGTGGGTTGGTGGTCTGAGTGAGCGCAGGGGAAGCATGGGAGAGAGGGAAGAACAAATGAACACACCCAGCGATGCAAGTCTGCAACATCATGAACTTCAGCTGCACCTGCCATGAGATCGTGGCCCCTTTTCGGAAGAACAGTGCGTCTGCAACACGCGACCACACTGTCTCCGCAGATCCTGAGCTCGCTGCAGGCGTGGGCTTGCGGCGGAGGCCGCCCAAGACCTCTCGCAGCGGGGTAGCCATCCTCTTCCGAGGGCTGGCAGCAGATGTCGGAGCAGGGCGAATGAGACAACGGCAACTCAAAATCGGTCCCCAGACCCCTCCCGATCCAAAAAAAACGATTCTCGGAGCTACCTAACAAAAACACTGCATGAACAGAAACTTTTGGCGCTCCGCGCGGATTTCTTGGATCTGCGCTCGGAGCGCGCCAGGGGCCGCGCCGGAGGCGACACCAGGGGGCACAATCCGCACGGAGCGCCACGCGTTTCGGTCGGTGCCGCTTCGTCTCTCCTTCGACGAGCTGCGTCCCGCCGCGGCGACGAGGGGCCCCCGACGGGCAGCTGCGGTGGCCTCGCCCCGCCCTCCTCCGAGGCTGGCGCCGGGCTCGTCCCGGGCGCCAGGTCGCCGAGCACCTCGCGAGCGCCCTGTCGCACGGCCCGGACCTCGCCGGCGAGGTCGAAGAGGGGCAGCTGCGAGGACGCCGGGCAAATCAGGTTGTAGTCCCGCACGGCCCGGTTGAGCGCCGCCAGTTCCTCCCTGAAGGCGTCCTTGTGAGCAAGCCAGCGCATCGACGGCTCCTTCCAGGGTGACAGCAAGAGGCATAAGCATGCATGCTGCTCGCGTCGTGGCAAAGAGAAGCACGGCAGGAATGCGTGCTACCGTGTTTGGCCCCTGGGGGCCATCACCGAGGCCCCCGGGACCGTCAACAAAAACGGCACAGCATGAGAAACCGGTCCCAAGAAAAAGAGTCTACGTGGGTGAATTCGAAAACCCTAAACCCAACAACGCGTCCATCTCTTAGGGGCGCATCTTTTACTTCCGCCGCCTTCCGCCGAGCTTCCGCCGACTTCCGCCAGCTCCCGCCGGCGGAGGCGGCCTCGTTCTGCGTCCGCCGCCCGTCCGCCGCCTTCCGCTGAGGAAGGGATGACGACTCCTCTTCGATCCTCGATTAAAGGCCACATGCGAACCCGACCCCTGCCCCCCACGATTTCTGAGGGGGAGAGTGGGTATCACTTCGCTCGGTAGCCCCCGAACGAAGTGAACCCCACCTCCCCCCTCAGAAATCGTGGGGGGTAGGGGTAGGGTTCGCATGTGGCCCCCTATCGATGGCAAGGCCCCCTCTGGAGCGACCCACGACAAAAAACAATCCCGACGTCGCCTTGTCTGGGGACGGCTCAACGCACCAGCGGGCGGAGCTGCGCGCGGAGGCTTTCGCACGGCGCTGGGCCCCCCGTCCCCGGCGCCCGGAGGGCGCCCGGGAGCGCGCCGAGGGGCGGGCGGGGGCTCCAGCGCAGGGCCAAGAGCTCCGTGCAGGGCTCCAGGCGTTCACGTGTGAGTATCGGCGAAGTGAGAAGGAAGGAAGGACGGAGTACCCTACGCCCCAAGGCGCGCCGGCTCGGCATGCGCTCAGGCGAGCGCGAAAAGGTTGTCGATCTCGAACAACGAGTGGGTGCAAATGCTTGGCCCATTCCAACCGGGGGGGCCCGGTTTTCCGTACGCACATGTCGCTCACTGGTGTCAGGGTCTTGGAGAGAAGGCTCGGACACACCACAACGGCCACTTAGCAAAAAAGATGGTCTAGTTTCGGGGCCAGGGGCGGCAGTCGAAATCTCAAGAGCATGTACGGTCTTGATTCCAGACCAGCTTCCCTATCAAACCCGACAAGCGCGATCGCCCGCCTCGAATGGCGGAAAAAAGAAAACAATAAACGACAAGACCAAAGTAATTCTGAAGTTTTGGGGGTCCGCGCAGAAAGCTAACCCACATGCCCAAAACGTACTTCTATACCTGTCCGAAAGAGAACGCCTTCTCAGAAGGTTCGGCAGTTCTCCGGCCTTCTGAAAAGTTTCCTGAGCCTTCCCCGAACACGAACAAAAACTTCCCATGATGTTCCAGGGCTTCTGAGAGGTCCAGCCGACTTCCGAGAAGAACTTCTCCTTCTCATTTCCTCCCTTCGCTCGCCGCCAAAAGTAAAATTTCCGCATTCGATCCTCGCCGCACGCCAGCCACGCGGCGGCCAGGGAGCGCCGCGACTCCCGGTGGCGGCGCCGGATGCCCTTCTGCTGCTCGATCCACTCCGGCGCGAAGCCGTGCTTCTGCAGCAGGTCGAAGCCTATGCGGTCGCCGCGGTCCAGGAACGGGTTGTCGTCGCTGCTCTCCAGGCGGCGGAGGGGCACGCCCTTGCCGTCCAGGTTGTCCAGCTCCCCCTTGTGAGCGTTTTCTTCTTCGGCGCTTCGACATTGGGCGGAAGGGGGGGGGAAGGGGGGTCTGGCTCCCTGGTTGCGCCCGTGCGTCCCATGGGGGGGACTCCACCTGCGTGATGCAGGCGCCAAGAACAGCTAAGATCTCCTCCACGGGGGGGGGAAGGGGTGCGAGGGCCCGCGCCGATCGGCAAAACAATGAATAAGAAACCGACGACCTTGGCGATGGCGATCTGAATCTTATCCTCCACCTGCTGCTCGATCTCTTCCAGGTCTTCGGCGTGCGAGAACCCCTGCCCTTGCTGGCTGGCTCTATACTCCATGGCGGCGAGACGGCCGCGGTCCAACCGCTGCTTGGCCGCGTTGCGCCCTCTCTCGGACACGGTCCTTCCGGCCACGCCATGGTCAGAGAAGGAGAAAACTACAGAGGCAGACACTTTCAGGTTTGGACAAGCCGAACGCACTTGCTAGAGGAAGAAACAACTGCCCCGCCCTCCCCTGGCGCGCGGGGCGGGCCAGGGGCGGCGTCAGAGGCGCTGCCAGGGGGGGGTCCAGCGCCGATCCAAGAAATCCGCGCGGGCACCCGAAAGTTTCTGCGTATGCCGCTCTCTCCTGCTCGAATTGTGGGTCAAGAACTGCCTGTCAGTGACACGCTCAACCTTGCGTTAAGTCGGGCGTGTCCTCCTACAGCTGGACTTTGAAGCATTTCCTGTAAAAACAAAATCGAAAAATCGTCCTCATACTATGTTTGGACTATGTTTGAATGTTCCCCCTGTAGAGGGACAGGCCCGACTTACACCTTGCGCTCTGCCCGGCCCGTGCCCGCGACGGCCGCCGCACGCGTGCCTCCGGTGCGCGCGGAGCCCGCTCCGAGATCCATCCGCAGGGACTCGAAGCGCGTGTCGGCATGCTGCTCCGACTGGGACAGCTGCACGAAGCGGCGCTCCAGGCTCTCCAGCGCCTGCAGCGAGGTCTGGGCAGATCTCAGCCGCGGGGCGCCGGCGACCCAGTCCCAACAGTCGGCTACGCGCAGAGGGGGGTTTTTAGGCTTAGGTCGGGCCTGTCCCCCTATCGGGAGATTGTCGACGAAAAAATAGAAGTAGCCAAAACACATGCAAAAACGGACAAACAATATTAAGCAAATCATCCCCAGACGATCTATTACATATTTTTGGATCGTCCTCCTGCAGAGGGACGTGCCCGACTTCGTCTCAGGGAGAGGGGGGGACAGGCTTCTAAGAAGCACCCCTGCTTCTGAGCAGGCGCGGGCCTCCTCTGTAGCTGTAGGGGTTGGCGCACCCTCACAGAAGCGGCGTCCTTATCTTGAGCAGCCTTCCCAGCTCGCCCTGCCCCCCGGTGCGCGCGGCCGAGATAGGGGTCCAGGGTGACCTCCAGCAGGCGCACGACCGTGGGCGTGGCGCCCGTCTCGGCCAGGACCCCCCGGAGCTCGGCAACGACCGCCCGGAACTCCTCCTCGGCGGACCTCGCAGGCACGCCCAGGCCCGCCGCCTTCTTCGCCTCCTTGATCCTGTGCTTGCCGCGGCGCAGGGCGGGCAGGAACCGGTCTGCCGTCGCGTCCACACCCTGGCGCAGGAACAGGGACAGGCGACACCAGCACCACCAGGGCGAGGAGGTGCGAGGAGCAAGGGGAGGTCTCCGTGGCCCCCCCCTCTCGCTCGAGACATCCCCAGTCTCCAGCTCGGGGGAGGCATCGTGGACCTCGTCGCTGGAGGTGGCCCCCCTGGTGGTGTCGGTGTCGCTTCTATTCCATCCGACTGACGTCCGCCGATGTGTTTTTTTCCCCCCCCGCGCCTCCCAACGTCCCGACCCCTTCTCCGGGGGCGGCTCTTTGTCCCGGATCCGTTTTTGTTGCTGGCCCCGGGGCCCAGTGACGGCCGCCGGAGGCCGGAAGAGAGGACCCAGAACATCCGCGACCGGAAATTTTCGGTAGCGATTTTCGTTTTTTCTGAATTCCAGGCGTTCCCGCAGAGGGCCAAATTCCAGTAACGAAGGGGACCTTCGCGACCGGAAAAAAAATCGGTCGCGACCGGACGAAATTCGGTCGCGACCGAGGGGCAAATTTCGGTAACGGCAAAACGAAATTCGGTAGCGATCGAGCGTGAATTTTGGTAGCAATCTCCTCCAGTGCCATCCTCATCGCCGTCGCGAGTGCGCGAGGTGTGATGATGTGATGTGATGGTGATGGTGATGATGATGATGACGACGATGTTGATGGTGATGAGGATGGTGGTGAAGAGGATTGCGAACGATACGTATGAGGAGCTGGGCTAATCAACCTTCCAAGTGGGCCACACGGCTCTGGAGGATGAGGGGGGAGCATACATGGACCAGGGAGGGCGGGATGATGATGATGATGATGATGATGATGATGCTGATGATGATGATGATGATGATGATGGTGATGATGATGATGATGATGATGACGATGATGATGATGATGCTGCTGATGATGATGGCGAGGAGGATGATGAGGACCTGGAGCAGGAAACAGACTATGATGAGGACTAGTAAGTCTTGCGACGGTGCATAGACCTATGATGCATGATGGTGGTCTGATGTTCTCTGCACGCAAGCAGTCAGCCCCGCGACTGCGCTGCTGCCGACGGAGCACTGGACGCACTTCGCATGATGTCTAATCTCGCCTCGTCCGCCGCCTCCTCATCCGCCTTCCTATCCCTCGCCCGCCCTCCTAACCCTCATCCGCGCTATGGATTCTCCCTTCTTACTCGCTCTCCTCCTCCTTCACATGCAATGCGCCGCGCCGTGGCGCCCAAATGAAATTGAACGAAACGGGATTGCTTCGACGCTGCCGACTAATGAACATATTCTCGCCCACTACGGGCGCGACATCCTAATCCTGCGGCCGAGTTCGCACAGCGCCGTCTCAGAGAGATCGTAGGACTCATAGGCACGCACCGCGGTAGAAGGCGCGCCAGAGCAAATTCCACAAGCAACAAATTCGAAGCAAATCGGATCGAAGAGCAAATTCCACAAGCATCAAATTGGAGCGCCAGCCCCGTTCCCTGCTTCATTGGCCCAAACAGCGGCTGTGGGAGACGACCACAAAGTAAATGACGGCGCCAGCACAGCACTGAAGAGAGCACCATTGCAAAAGGATAGCTGAGCACGTGGCAGCGCAGATGACCCAACTTATTGAAGCCAGCCGAACTGCAAGAGCACCATACCCAAACAAAAGGTAACGATAACGTGAACCCAAATTCATTGAGCCTCCGTCTCAGCACCCGATGTCGGCTCTGCAGCAGAGAATGTGCAGCGCTCCGCAAACATCCACATGACAGCGGCATTGAGTTTGGCCCTCGGATGGATGCGTCTCGCAAGCTCGTCGGCACTATTGATGACGACCGTGTCCGCGCTGACTGCTGCGAGCTGCTCGTCCAAAACTCGCTCCATCTGATGATCCACGGCATGATCCCAGTATGAGGCCTACGGTCCTGACCAACGACTCATGCGACGAAACTCGTGATTGCGTAAAAGGAAAGGCGCTGGCCCCCTCGGAATGGCAGCGGCTCCCATAGCCCTGCAGACAGCAACTGCGCAGGAGTGACACATGGAACCGTCCCATTGAGCTGTGAAAGCAACATGCCAGCGCCATACAGTGGCTTGATAAACCAGTGCTTCTAAATTGAAACTTCCGTCCCGCTCTAAATAGTTGCGAAGCTGAAACGGCCCATCCTGAGTGCCTCGCATGACCAAATCACTCCCGTGGACGAGCGGGCGCAAGGCCGCCGTTGGGTCACTGTGCGTAGTCCCTTCCATGGGTCTGTAATTCGGGATCGGGCGTAATGAAGCCGTGAAACTGGGCACCGCGGCGATCCGCATGCAGTCCGTGCGCCGTGCAATCTCTATGATCGTGGCGTTTGGAAGCTGACCATGGAGCGCCTCATATATGAGCTGGTCGTAAAGAAGCCTGCGGGTCGTAGCGTCGATCTGCCTCTGACCAAGGCATCGACGCAAGAGGCAATCGAGGTCATCGCGAAACGAGAGCGGCGGACAGACGCAGGATACCACAACCACTGCTGGCACCGCTGTAAGGGCTGACCTAAAAAGGTCAAGTAAATCTCGTTCTTGCACGCTGACCCCTAGTTCCCGCAGAGCTTGAGCATGGTGCTGTTCCAGTACACTGATGTCAACGTCTGATGCCTCCCAGTACTCCAAGAGATTAGGATCCATAGCGCCGATGGTCTGTGCCTGTCCAGACCAGGGTGTGGGGCGTCACCAGGGGCCCCCACGCAAGGAACCCTCCTGGCCGTGCCGACCCTTGAAAGGGCCAGCCCACCGAAGCACCCTCCCCTGTGAGTCGGAATGCTCCTCTCCAGCGTCGGAAAAGACTTCCTCGCTTGTGTCAAGCACGAGCGCCTGCGCACCGCGCACCACGAGGCGGCGCGAGGACTGGCCAAGTAGGAGCGCACAAAATGTGGCAAGGAGGGCGTATGGTGCAAGGACCACCCAGTAAACCCACCCGCCCCCGCTCGGGCCAGAGTTGCTTGAGACGAGGTGAAGGGAGGTGAGAAGGGGCGAGGGGGAGATGGAACACCTTGTTGCGGCCTCAGCAACTGCACCATCAACTAGGACGCTGGGTAGGGCGCAGGGCACAGGTAGGGCGGTCGTGTGGGGAGTCGGGTGGGGCTGCGCCTTGGCCAGGGGGTCGGGTAGGGTGGTCGAGCGCCACCAGGGGGCAGCGGACCACAGGCGGGGGGGGGAGGAGGAGACACGGTGGATGAGAGGGGGGGGGGGGTAGGAATCGGAGGATCATAGTACTTCCTCCCCCCCGTCTTATGGGGGCGTTGCTAGGTTGCGTTGGTTGCGCTGGGGCCTAAAACCGCTACGCGGCGGAAGATCGCACCACATGGATGGCACCATATATATATATATATATAGATTCATATGTTGCGCCATATAGGTAGCACCACGGAAGATTGCACAGAACCATCGACTCTAACATGTAAGTTGCATCACATTGCGTGCACCACACACGTTGCACCAGCGCTTGTGGCTCCAGATTGATTGCGCTACATAGGTTGCACCACGTATATTACATTTGGTTGCTCCACATATATTGCACCGCATACAGTGGCCGTGGCCGTGGTAGTGGTAACGGTGGTAGTACTCGTGTTGATGATGATGTTAGTGGTAATGATTGTGGCCTTGGAGGCAACGGGAGATACATGAACTGGTGGATTGATGCGCAACCCGTTTCCATCTCGAGAGACCGCACCTTCGCGCGGATCGCACATGCTGCATCGCGCGGCCACGCCTTCAAATTTGGGCAACAGTGAACATGGGTCCAGAGCTCTTCTTCCTCCTATTCGTTATCCTCCTATTCCTCCTCCTCCTTTTCCTCCACCCGTTCGCGGCCGAACCGCGTTCAATCCGCAACTAAACGTGACATCTCGAAATCCGCCCGTGCCCAGCGGGCACCATGCCGACGTTCTCTGTCGCCTTGATTTTCCCCTCGTCGGCTATTTCGGCATAGACCCATTAACCCCTCCCCTCTCCCCTCAGTCATCTCATGTTTCCAGCTTCAACCCGCCCCTCCCCTCCAACCGCCAAATGGGCAGTGCGGGAGCAGATGCATCGCGAAGCGTGCGTCATACCTCCCTATGCGCCAACGGTTGCACAGCTT